TAGTTGTTTGCTTGGTCAGCATCCGGAAAACAAAATCCCCTGTACTATACTTACTATACAAGACAAAACAATTACAATGCCACGTGGATTGATAGAGCATCTAATCGCGACCACATCTCAAAACGCTGTACAGTTACAGTGGAGATATTTATTTTGCAGATAAGGAGTCCGTGATAGACAGACGCATGGAGTCAACAGCACAGATGGCTGCAGGGAAGGGAGTTCCAGACCCTGTGGGCAGCAGAGGAGAGTAAGCGACCTACCACGTCCAGAAATAACAATTTTCCACCCCTTTCAGTGCCGCATTATATCACACCAAAACCGTGCTGAACTCCAAAGGGACACTGCTAATGCGAAGGTTTCCATGCCAACATCGACATCCTGGACACTCGTTTTTCAAGAAAGCTCTCATATGGAGTGCAAGCCTCTTTGCTAAAGGTCACAGCCTCGCATTGACTCCTCGTAGTCGCTTTGTCAATATTCTCACATTCTTAAAGAGGCCTCAAAAGTTTACAGGAGAGCCGATAGGCAACTTATTGTTATGCAAGTGAAATATTACTTCCCGTCCAAGGGAACTTGGTCTTGACAATGACTACAAAACCATTCTCTATGAAATTTACAACAGGAGCACAAGTAAATAATAAAATGTTAAACTGTATACCGTACACAGCACCCAAACTAGTTCAAGCTAATAATCTAACCTACCGCTGATAAACTATTAAGCAAAACCCGTTTGCAAAAACAAAACATAGACTGTCGTGATACACCCACACGTCTTGCCTGTTGTGCCGATGCTTTCTGCATTCATGCTACTCTTTTTCCCCTCCTACGCTAGGAAATACAATTCTGGTCGCACCGTAGTCCCACGGCGCAGCCCAACATTCCGAGGTCCTCAGCACAGCACGCAAAGCCGTTTGCCAAGACATGTGGCAGTTTGCACAACGCATGGATTCGCCGGGTCAAGCGAGGCAGCTGGGAGAGGCTGCCGCTGCAGCGGGCGTGGGAGTTAACCATCGCACGTACATATGCGGCACAGACTGCACACATCTGCGAGGAACAACAAAAATTGGAGGGTAGGGCTGGGTGAATTTTTTTGTTATGTAGGCCACGGTGGCGAGATGTTAACTACCTTGCCTGGTATCCAGGAGGTTGTGGGTTCGATCTCGACCCTGACGCCTGTATATTTAGAGTTTGCATGTTCTCCCCATGGTAGTGTGGATTTTTCGCCTTGTCCTCCAGTTTTTTCCTCCACTTTTTAGAAACTCGAGTTCAATGCATTTGGCTGCTGTCAATTTCCACATGATACATTTGTGACCAGGTCGCTTCTGAAAAAGAGCCATATAGGTCATTGGGCCTTACCCAATAGTTATAGTACAACTCCTCCACCAACCCGCTTGTGGATGAAGGCCTCTTCCCCACGCCGGAGTCAGCCATGGGAATCGTTTGATCATACTACACCACGTTGGTCTGTGTAGATTGGTGACCCAATTGGAGGAGCCCAGGACCAATCCGGATATCATTCAGGTTGCGGAGTTCATAGTGCACTGCGCCATCCATCTCTCTGCCCTCCCCCCGTCGGGCGGTACGGAGAGGAATGTGCGCTAACCTAAAACGACTGCACCTGCAAACTTTGCGATTGTTCCACGCAGTTCTTATCAGAGCCAATAAACACTGGTGTGCAAATTCACACACCCAAGTATATAGTCTGCTTTGCCAATGCCTTCGGCGTTTATCCAGTTTTGTTTCCCTGCTGCGCTAGAAAACACAATTCTGGATGCAAACACAGCTTATACGCAAGCCTGACATTAGAAGGCTCTCTGCACAGCGTGTGAGTCCGTTTGCCCAGACATCTGGCAATTTGCCCAACGTGAGGATTAACCGCAGTGACATGGCCGAGCAGTCGCGCTTGTTGCAGGGATACGTAGTTCGAATACAGCAGCTGTCCTGCTTTTCACTGTGTTGTATATCAACCAAAAATGATACACCATCTGTTTTACAGTGGCAAGTGGGCCATTGTGTGCTGGCATCATGGTCCAAATTTTAAAAGGTACCCACATATTACTCAAATGGATAAGTACAAAGTATCCATCGCCCTCTGCTGCAAACATTTGGAAGACAAAGCTGAAAAAAGTCATGAGACTCAGGTGAGGTTTTCCTGGGTAAACACATCTAATGAATAATAATAAGTTGGTTTAAGTGACTTCCTATGAAGACTGCAAACATTTTAAATCATCAGGAAGTTCAAAATAAAAAAAAAATGATGTCAAAATTGTTCATTTGTTCCATTTTTTTAATTTGCCAGTGTGTTTAAATAGTAATATGCAAGTATGATGATGATTAACATTGATAAGTGTACATTTGTGTCTGTAGGTGGGTAAATGTTCCTGCTGCCCACGAGTACCTGGTGCAATGTGCAAACTGGTGAGACAAAGGTGGCCGGGCGTGGTGCTGGCCACCCACCTCCTCGTGTGCCGTGCCTTCAGAGGTGCTCAGTAATAGCACTTGCCCCAAAAAGTCGGTGAAGGCTATACGGGGAATCCTTGTCTTTGTTGCGTATGCGTGCGAGAATGTGCGTGCGTTTTTTTCAGGATTGTGTTTTTGTGCATGAAATGCTTAAATAACTGTGCGCTTCCACATACTTTAAGTAACTCAGTTGTTGTTTGTGTGAGATGTAGATTCTAGCATGATAATGCATTTGTATCTCTAATACACACCGGCAAGTCACTGGAGACAAACCTGAGACAGGACTTGTTTCACAAGAGTCTAAACATGGATAAGAATTGTCTGTATCTCTGGAGATGGAGTGAGAAAGAGCGATGAAATCAGCCCGTGCGCATGTGCTGGGTGGATTGTTGCATGGAGACGGGTAAAGGCGGCCTCTTTCCGAGCAGTGGATTGATAACGGCTGCTGATGATGATAACAAACATGTAGCAGATTGCTATGTTTATCCACAACAAACATATATTCTGAATAAACCATCTGATTTAAATACAATTAGTACAGACGTCTTCATATTTCGAAGATTATTCTGAACAAATGCCCATTTGATCAGATTGCAAGAGCTATTCAACTAAATTGAACTGTGTCCATGACACAATGTCAGGTTGGGCGTAACTGGTCGCCGAACCGATTTCCCTCATGGCATCGCTCTCTGAAAAGGGGTGCGAGGGATCGAAGGTCAAAAGCTGTGGGAAGTAACGGGTGGGCCTTTATAACCATTAGAACGTTTCCTTGGCAACATAACATTCAGACTTAACTTCTTATGGAAGGGGCATTTCCCTAGGAGATACGAGAACCATATGGGGTTTTCCTTCAGCTATTGCAAACAAGAGGTAATTTCCCACAGGTCTGTGCACAGTGTAAGCATGTATGTTGGACTTATTTCGCACCGTACGTAGCCAACCGTGCGAACCGGAGGTGCGGCGGAAGGACAACAAAATAAACACAATCATCAGGTTCTAAAGAAATTAGTTTTCAATCTAGATTTAAAAGGGCATAGCTCCAGTGGCTTTCATCTTATCGGAAGGAATCGACGCATGCAGCACAGCACTTTGGAGACAAGGCTTGGTGGATCACGTAGATTTTTCAAACTCCATAACCCGCTGGAGTCGACAAGGTGACTAATAGATAGGACTATATCATATATAGATTAAGTCATCTGCGTGGAGCTATTTGATTGATATCCCCGCATATGAGTTTAGTTTTCTACAGGCGCCCCAGATTCCTCTGAATCTGCTTGACCATCCGGGCAGAGACGTCTTGTTCCTTCTCCGAGTCTCTCGTGAACATATTGCATAACGGTCATACAGCCCTCGTGTAAGAGTTATAGTTTTAAAACACTTAGTAATGTACTGATTAAATCTATCCATAACTGAAAAGACCTCTTTGTTCATAAACCTTTTCCTTGGAAACATGAGTATAAGCAGATAATGAACGCAGCCCTTGTGATATTAAGGCTAAACGTTTTCTGTGTCCTCGGTGAATTTAAAGGAAAGAACTCAAAGTGCAAACAGCTCGTCTCTGAGAGATACACACCGCAATGAAACGCTTGATCGAGATTGTAAAGGCAATTTTCTCGTTGGAGATCTCTCAAACTCACGTCAAGTGAACTGGAACGGCCCAGCCTAGGTACCTAACATCTAAAGCATCGGCACTATTTGTTAAAAGAGTCGAAAAGGTCATTATTGTCATGCCCTGAAACTTTACAGCTGTCTCTCCGTTCATCCAAGGACACGGCTGTGTGTTTTCAGGGAAACTACAGAACCGCTAAACCAATCACTACCGAATTTACTATACAGCTTATGCACAGATGTGAAGCCTTATTGGTAAATATTTACCAATGCTTTAGCAAACAATGATAATTATCTAATCTGGCACGACGATGGTGTGGGCGGAAGCTCGCAAGACATGAAATGTAGATGCCTTACACACACCCACCGAAGACATGAAGTGTGGATGCCTGACACACACCCACCGAAGACATGAAGTGTGGATGCCTTACACACACCCACCGGGACGTCTTTCACTCGGAGGGCAGTGTGGCCTGATCCGCCAGAGGGAACTTTCACTCACTTGCAAGAGCGTGAAACTAATGTTGTAACTTGTGTGTGTGTGTGTGGACACGTGTCCGTACGCATCAATTTGTTACGTGAGTTAGCGCGGCCTTAACACCCCAGCAAAAATAAGGCTCCCTGAATGTTCTAGCTTGCAGCTTGTTTATTACTTTATTGTGTGTCGTACCTTCCTTTACAAGCCCTCCAGACATATCATGGGAAGACGAATATTGTACCACACAACAGCAGAAGAAGAAAGCACTACAAGAACATTCATTGTCTTGCGTGTCGTATTGTCAAACAACTGACAATCGTTTTTTTTCGATGCAATTAAATGATGAAAGAGATGCAGTTGGACTGCTGAAGCCTTGCAAAGAAGACGATGCTGGGGCAAACCAGGCAGAGGCAGCGACCGCTGCTGCGAGGGGCAGACACGTGTGACTCACCAGGCTGGCGGTGAGTGATGGCGCCGACTGGCCCAGCGCCTGGTTCCTCATGCGCACCAGGTTGGAGGAGGAGCCGCCACCGCCGACGCCGCCACCGCCACCGCTGCCTGCATCCGAGTGCTGCGCAGTGCAGCTGGTGGTAGCCCCAGTAGGGATGCCCTGTCGCCCCTCCATGGCTGCTCACTGACACGGGCAGCAGGAATTTACCTGCGCAGCACGCAATGATAGCAGCGGCAGCAGGAGCAGCAGCCAAACGGTTACTGAACGTCTTTAACGCTTTAAATTGTTACCAAAGTCTTAGCCAAGTGATGTGATGTTTCGGGTACCACACGTTGTTCGGCACGATGTCCGACGTCTCACTTAGAGTGCCGGGAGCTTATTCGATAAATGAATTCCCAGCACGTGGGCTGAAACGTCGGACATCGTGCCCAACAACACCGTGGTATACCCTCAAAGCACGTTAGAGCTACACAGCACAACAATTCAAACCTACGTGGTAACATGATGCAAATAATATTCAAGGATAACAAATTCACTAAATTATGGAATATATGTGGCCGAGGGAGAAAGTGAAGAACACACATCAGAGTATGCAAACCTCAGGCAGATCTTGAAGATAGAACAGGATCGAAATTATGAAATAAAGAGGCTGACAAAAGCAGGTTGGAATGCTTTTGAGAAACTGAACTTAATAATTAAAAGCATTATTCCAACGTGCCAAAAGAAGACAGTTGGTAATAATAAGTATACATTACCTGCTAAGACATGTGGATCCAAAACAGACATTTCCCAAGAGATATAACAAAAGGTTAAAAGCGTGCAAATAAGCTTGGAATTACACTGAGAAAGAAGGGAATAAGAACACATGGACTTGAGACACCACATTGATCCAAGGGTTATAAGTGGGATTGGGCAGGACACGCCACCCAAGAACATCTACCACGGAGATTGAGCCGATGCCATCAGCGCATGTGCAGGTGGCCAGAAGGATTGTTGAATGGCAAGACAGAGAGAGAGCGGTGGCCTTGATCCAGCAGTGGACAGATCAGGGCTGCCGATACGTTGCCTGAATGGCACTTTTGGCTTGGGTGTTTGACTGGCAATGGAAAGGCCGCAGGCTAAAATTACCGGTCATGGATCAACTTAGCCTGTCATCCCGCTGGGGATCATAAAATCAAAATAAGACTTTATATCTCCAGGTGAGAAGCCACTGAGTCTTTATTGAAAGAATGGCCTGGGTCAATAAGTAACGGCAGTGCATTTACAGATCTCGAGCACAGTTCTGGGATAGATCAGAGAAAAACACGACCGTAAAAGCATGCAAAACTTAACGGAAAGGTTGAAAGTATATCATGCCACAGAAGCAAAAAAAACCATCATATAATCATAAACAGAGGGTAAAATGTGATAAAGCAAAATACATCAAAGCATTTCAAAACGTCTCCCAGAAGACAATTTGGATTTATATACCATTCAAATGCAATCGCATCGCAAATACATTCGGCTACAAAGTGTAACATGGGCATCAAGAAGAAAAAGGGACATCTATTTGACATAAGGACGGGCACAACACACACAAAACACTGCCATGAAATAACTAAAAGCTATAGCACTCAGTCTTTCCAAAGCATCTCATTTGTCACATAATACCGATTCAGAGGGGACAGAGGTAAACTGCAGATGGTACGCCAGTTTGCTCCAAGGACGAGCAGCATCACGGATGAAGGAACATTCTCAGAATGCACGACTAACGCTCATCACCACAAAAAGCAGAGTTACGCAACTGGTGGCCTACAGGCCAGATGTAGCCTGTTAAGGTTTTTGGTTGAATCCCACCAAACTATGTCCCCACTGAGAGAAATGATTGCAAAGACTCAAGATATAGAGATGGGAGAGTTACGGACAAGAATTATAAGATTAGCGAGATGAAAACGAGATAAATAGGAGAGAGAGCCATGAACATCGGAGACAATATATACAGATTAGTGAGTGTACAGCGAGATGGAGAAACAGGAAGATTAGTGGTTAGGCATACCGACATTATGACAACTCGACACAATGAGACATCATGACATCTGTACATATGACGTGCGATGTCTCATTGCCCGCAAACACACGACATGTTCATTAATGAACCATTTGGAAACGTATTTTAAGAACCGTGATGAAGAGGAATTTTGAACATTGTCTTATTGGTTGGCGTATTTCTGCGTGTGGCTTGGTATAAACAAACCAGTTGAACTTTAAGCACAATTTAAGGCAGATTGACATCGGTGGCTTTGAAGAAGAAAATAATTCAGAACGATGTAGGTCCCTTTGTTCAGACAGTGGGACCCGGAGCTTGAATTAGAGCAGAGGTCATAGGGGGGGGAACAGAGTGACTCACCCCCCATATAGAATGTAGGACAAGGTTCTAAGCTATTCAGAGTTTCGCAATGAGCGTATTTATAAATCACATCGTCACACTCAATTACGGGCATGAAGGTGGATGCGACAACCTGATGGCAAATGGATAGAGAGAAGAGGTTTTTATTTCTGAATTTTAAAAAAAACCTAACTTGATTTCAAATTTACACTTGAGGCTTTGTGCATGTCTGTGCTATAGTTGATGTGGAAATCAAGTAAGGAGTCGGGATGTTTGTTTTTAAAACAGTCTGCCTCAGCAGCAGACCATGCTTTCCCACCTGATGATGGACGCTTGTGTTGCGCCCGAAACGTCGTGATTTATTTTATTTTATACCTACGTGACTTTACCGAAAAAAACAAAGAGTATGTTTGTAGGCTTTAACATTCGTGGGGCTAAAGCAGGAGAACCCACTTGGGGAAGCTGAACCAAGATTTTGTTGCGTTCATCAGACATATTATAGAAACAAGATCCTGTCGAACATTTTTGAAATTTAGCTTGCAACTTTGTCTGAACTGCATATTTCGATGAGGCAGGTATGTATAAACAATCATCCAAGTAAATTTTGAGCCAACATTGTTCATGTAAATGAAGAACATGGGCTGGCCTATAACTGTATATTGAGTGACTCCCTTGGAGACTGGGCAGAAATTTTATTGTTTCTGAATTGTTGGCTGACGGAGCAATCTTACAATCTCTAAATTAGAAAGGGTGATCAATCAGAACACATGGGATCAAAGAAACAACATAAATCAGACATCACATTGACTATTAATAAAAGTGGGGGTTTGGCAGGACACATAACTAAAAAGGATGATGGCCAATGTCACCCTTGAAAAATAACTTGAGCTAAGAAGCTCAATAGGCTACACTCAGAAAAAAAATTCTGATTCTGATTGTGAAATGGTCACCAGGGAGTTTAAACGATGAGATTTGCTCGTGTGCAGGAGCGAGACGATTCATAGCATCGCAAGGCCACGAGGCACGGCGACGGACGTCAACAGGCCTTCATTCAGCAGTGCATAAACCATGGCAAATGAAGATGATGGTCAAATGCATCAAACTGCGTCAAACGCTTTTGTCAAGTCATACATAGCACTGTTACGCCACAGACCGAATATAGTGTTACTTTGGTGGCCATAATGACACTGGGATCTGACCTTAAAGCCTCATCGCTTGGAATTTAAGATGAAGATTTTAAAATATGCAAAACAAATCGAGTGCCAAATTATCTATTTTTTTATTTTACCAGTTAAGGCCCACTGAGCTACACAGCTCTTTTTCAGAAGCGACCTGGCCACAAATGATAGCTCTACAAAAGCGGGTAATCAGTGCAAATTTATAGCAACCAAACACTCTAAACGCGTATTTCTAAATGTGAAGGGAAAACCGGAGGACCTGTAGATAAATCAATGCGACCATGGGGAGAACATTCCAACTTTAAATATACAGGCATCGTCAGGGTCAGAATCGAACTCATGACCTCCTGTATACCAGGCGAGGTAGTTAACATCTCCTAGCCACTGCAGCACCCCCTGTGGAATAACTGGCGACCACTGGCCCAACGCTGCCAATGGAGATGAGCACTGCCACACTGCTCACGTGAGCAGAGACCCTCTCGAATGGATCTAAAATGAAAATTATAACCAACTGTGAATGTTAAGAGTGATTGGATGCCCCCCCGCCCCTCCCTACCCTAAGTTTCCCACATTAGGTTGGTTCTACTTCCCCCCTCGCCCATCAACCCCCCTCGCTACATTTACATTTCCATCTTTATTCCCACGTGGTGTCCTCAACACTTCTTGGTTGGGGCAGCAGCGGGCCCCTCCTCCCCCCACCTTTTACCCTCCCACTCTCCTTTATATGGTCCAGTTGCATCGGGACTGTCTCCCCCCCCCCCGCTCCGGGGAAATTTGACACTCGGTTATGAGAGCTGCGCCGGCGTGTTGTATCGGTCTCGCGTTTTGTTTCAATAGAAGCAACATAAAAAATAAAAAGCAAAAATTTGATAGAAATTTGCAACGGACTTGAGCTATAAAAACCTAATGCTTCGGTGGGTTGGGGAATTGCTGATTCAAAATAAATAAATATTTCGCCTTGTGAAACATCACTTTATTTTCGTGACCCAAAAAGTTGACTTGGCAAGTTTCAACGGATAAGGCAACAAATAGAACGTTGTACCAAGGGGTTTAATGTTGTGGTACACACCTGCCAGCCCTGGTAATATTAGACATTTACACTCTGTAATTAGATAGGTACCCCAACGCTGACTTGCTGAGCTTCAACAAATTATCAATAAAATCTTTGGACCAAAACGTTTACTGTGGGTGCACACACCCGGCCAGTTCAAGCAATTCTATTAATCTACTTTGATAGACCCTGTTTGTGACAACACAGCTCAAATTGCACATAAATGGCAAAATGATTTTTTGCACCAACCAAGAATGGAAAGACCATGACCAAATCCTGGATCGTTAATGAACAATACAAGCAAGTGTCCAGGTGACATCAATACATTACCCACTTATTCAATCTGCACAAACGTTCGGTGACAATGGTCTCGTTGCGTTCGTACATAAGCATTATTTTACAAGCTTATAATTTGGGTTTGTATGATTTGTCTTTGCTTATACACATTGAATCACTCCCATTCTCAAAAAATGTCCCTGTACTGTCCACTAATTAACCCTTGAGGGACGGTTAAGTTGTCTGCAGAGCTTTAAAAAAATGTGTAAATATATTTTGACAGTCTACGAAATATGAGAACCAGTCTAAGAAACATGAGAACTACAAATGTATATTC